CCTTAAACCGATATCCGCGAAAGAATACCTACGTAGACTACCCATAATCAGAGATTCATGTGTAGGTGTCTGTTCTGGGGTCAAGAGCACTCCTAAGGATACGTATTCCACTTGGTTAATTACATCTTAGGGGGTACCCGAGAATACTCTCGATAAAAGGAGTTTTGCTTGGATTATCGTGAACCTGGGGCAATAGGTACTCAAAAGAAGGTTATTTCATGTAGGAACAGTCTCGATACTTCAAAGCTCGCGCTAAACCATAGGGTAGAGAGTGAGTGTCTCACATCCCAAATTGATAGCGGTTCATCGGCACACGGGGCCCACAAAATAACCTAAATCATCTTGATGGGTATATCCCAACACGTCAAAGCACTTTCGGGGCAAAGGGCAAAGGACAAATTGTCGTATCCCAAATAGGGCGGCAGCTCATCGGCATCGGGCCGTCAAAGTGATATCAAAGAAGTCAAGGAGCCACAGGGCTGAAAGGGGCTCAACAAAAGAAAGGTAGAGCGATCCTAGAAGGTAGAGGTAAATGAGTTGGGTACTGGTTGGGGTATTACAAACCTGTCATCCACAGCTACTAGGACCCTAAGTCATTCTGTTCGTGAAGTTAGTCGACCCAACACGTTCTGAGATCCCCGGTCAGCAATCCATGAATTTCATAGTCCATAAGAACCTTGACAGCCCTAAGTTCAGAGAAAAGAAACTCTATCCTATGACTAAAAGTTGAAGCTCCAAGAGGTGGGACTTTTACCTATCAAAGTGACAAGGATGCCTTAAGAAAGAAAAAAAAGTGGAGGTTCAACTACAAAGCTGGAAACACTCCAAACAAAATGGCTTACACCCTGTTTGGGTCGGGGAGCCTTCTAACACCCTAGGCGCACTGGACAATCATCTAAGTAGAAAATTTATGTTGGGTCAATCGGGTTGAAGAAACTCGGGTTAGTCCTTAAGTGCCCTATTAATATATGCAGGAAAGTAAAATGTTGCAATTTTTAAATCTTGAATATTTTAATCATAAATTTTAATTATCTTGAATATTTTATTTAAGATTTTGTAGAAAATTACAATTTTATGGTCCTTAATGAGCCTATATTATATCATGTAATCCCAGATAAACCACAGAAAGAAACAAGAAAAACACATGCAAGTGTAGACATGCAATATGATGCAAAAAATAAAGCAAGCCAAATCAAAATTATAAAACAGGCTGGTGGTGATGCGGCGACAACATATCCCCTGCGTCGACAACATATCCCAGAAAGGAAAAAGACGGTCAAACTTTGCCTATACATGCCCGGTTCTAATTTTATACCTCAATATAAAATGCAGAATTAAGATACGGGGCACGAGCATCTGCTCCTTGTACCATCCACGTGGTTCCCGCGCTAAACGTCTTAGAACCTGTGTCTGTATCTTATTTCTACTACAAAACTCTACTAGACTCTAAAAGTACATAAGAAAAAGAAAAAGACTCAATCCTACATGAAAATAAGTGTCAGCGAGAAAACTCATATGCAAATAACATATCATGAGCCATACCTTAAAATTGGGGGACCTAAATAACACCTGCAAGCAAAAGGGTCAGAAATCATCACATGCTCCCCAATAGCAGTACCTGTATGTGTGTGAAAAAAAAAGGCATTGCTCCCTGCAGAAAAATGCCCTAACATACTACCACACATATGCTGCATGTAGTTACACCACAAACACAATGCAAAAGAAAGGTACCTGGCTAGGGCAACCAATCCAACAAAGAAACAATAATCAGACATCAAAAAGACTACCTAGCATCCTAAATCCAAGCCTAGCATACCATCTAACGAAAAGTGCATCAACCTAGTATCTAAGTGCGGGGTAGGTCTGGGTATAGTATGACTTTGACGGGGTCGCCATACCGGCCCCATCCTAACTCGTGTCATGAAGAGTGGTGACACGAGTTAGATCTAATAGATCTTTAGCACATTCATACTCATGTTAATCCTAATGACTTAACTCACATTGCTCACCGAGATCAACCCAACAAGCAATGCTCGTTAAGGCATCGCGACCAACACGGGGTCACTCTCCTGACAAGCCTGGCTCGCTATCCATGCAAACATGCAAATGTAAATGCAGACAATCATGTGACAGAAGTGATGAGTGTATCGTGGGGCAGTGACTCAAGAGAAGATGGGCATACCGTGTAGGCAGTGACCCAAACAAATGGGTTTGCCGTAGCGGCAGTGACCCGGAGATGGGCGTGTCGTGGGGGCAACGACCTGAAGAAGGTGTGCCGAGGCGACAGTGACCAAAAGGGATGATCGTGTCGTGGTGGCAGCGGCCCGAGAAAGGTGTGCTGAGGAGGCGGTGAACAAAAGAGATGGGCGCGCCGTGGCGGCAGCGACCCGAGGAAGGGGTGTCGAGGCGGCAATGACCAAA